TGAGTTTTTCAATGAAACAGATTAAGAATATTATTTCACTGTTGTTCAATTTTGTTTGGTGGCCTGTAGCAGGCAGTTAGCTTTTCTGGGAAAGTAAAATCATCATTTTAAATATTTAACACAAATAAATATTTATTATATTTTATTTTGCATCCTGGCATACTTTTATGACTTTTGGTTTGCTTTGCAACACACCTTTATTTTAGTTGTTCAAAATCCCTCAAAACGTAATGAAAAATCAGATTGCTAGATTAATTGTTCACAGTTGTACACACATGCTTGCTTTTATTACTGAAGATTTAATGAAGATCAAGTAACTTTCATAGAATTTCATTTAAATTTTTTCATTTATAGAAGAAGAAATCACAACTCATTGGTTTTTTACAATATATGCAATCAATTTTATCTAATCCCTTTGAATTCATAAACTCATTTCATATGAGTAGACTAATACACAAAGTATTTCTTTTACTTTCCTTTGCAGAACTTCATTAAAATATAATTTGAAGAATATTAATAAATTCCCTAGCACAAGTGTGAAGATTTTAATGGTTTTTTAACAGACACTCTGCCAATAATAATGACTACAAGAGCCTTCTCAATTACTATATCTGGCTTCTTAAATTAAATTGAATAATCAATTATTGTGTACTTATTAAGTCAGGTGCAATACTGGGAGCTGTGGATAACAATATCAGTAGAACATGGCTCTAACCTCAAAGAATGTCAGTATAAATATAAAGGATTAGATATATACCCATATGACAGTGATTCAAAGCAGAATTCAATATATGTCAAAACAGAAATTACCATTTCCTGGCTGACTGCTCCTTGACAGTGCCCTAAACATGTAATTCATTACCATTTTGTTTTCAGTGAACTAACAACTGGATTGTAATAAATAACTATTAAAAAGAAGAATTCTATGATTTCTCTCTTAAAAGCCAAAATAGAATAGCTCCTAAACGTACCAGCATCACTCTCAGTTTATGATGCAAATAAGAGGGTTGTGGTCCTTTTTCAACTGCAAGACAAATTGTTTATTTTTTCCTAACCTTATAATCCTAGAATACATTAACTGCCTTATACACCTGAATATGACTCAGCAATGCCAGCTTTTCACAGTTAATTTCAAATACAGGTTTACACAGAGGGAAAAAAATAGGTATTTTTTGCAGAATCTGAAGAAGAGGGAAAAACATTAAAAGGAGGGACAGGTGCTGAGAAGAACAGCAGGAATGCCAGGAAAGCATAGCAGACTTGAATCAGACTCACCCCCGAGTGACCTTTCATCTCCTTGAGTAATTTTTTCTTTCTTGGAAATCCAGCTTGATTTTAGAGCTTATGACCTGAACCAACTACTGCCATGGTACTTCTGCTAAAAGCCTAAACCATTAAGACAAAAGCAGTGTTGGCTTGATTACTGAGACAAGTCTATTTGTGCATTTCATTTTCAACATTGACAGATAAAATTGAGTTCATGATGACAGGCAGTAGGATTTGGGGATCAAAGAAATCAGGATATTTAGCTTTAACTGGCTCTTATAAATACATCAGAGCAGTCAGGATTGAACAACAAAAAAAGCAGGTTGGACAAGATAATTTAAGCAACAACTGAGAAAAATAAAAATGAATTCTTTTTTTCTCACGAACTTTTACATTTCCAGAAGACTATTTAATATTATAGTAGTTCTTAAATGTTTAAGACACATGAGTGGAATCATTACTGTCATCCATATTAATAGCATCCTTATTTAATGGGTTGGCATGCCTTATTTTCTTTTTGCAATGAATCTCTGCCATCTGAAATTACAATGTAAAAAAAAAAAAAACCTGAGAAAATAAATATGAAAACAATTTAGACACATATTCTCTCTTTAAGCTTAATGAGTTATGTCTGAAAATACTGAGAATTTTCATGGTATGAAAGTGATTGTCCCATCTATCTATAGCTATTCAAAGTACCCAATATGTCTAGTATCATGTTAGTACCTAATAAATATGAAGTAACTTTGAAAACTGCATGGAAATACATATGATGAAAACCTGTGTTTGGATTTCAAAAATGTTTGCACCAAAATATTCTTTTAAATTCCACTTCCCATGAAGTTTTTGAGGTATCCTCCTGTATTCAGTACAATAGTAACTGTTCAATGTAATTTATATTATTATTATGGTGACTGTTAAGGAAAATTGAAGTGGGAAACAAAGATCTAAAGTATGCTTAGGATGTCTTTAAAAATCTCTCAACTCAACATCATAGTTGTTTTACACCAGTACTATAAAGTAAAACATAAACCATTACTATTTAAACACACTGTGAGTATCAGACAAAAGTAGGTATACCGGGTCTGATGTTTGAGGCAATTGTCTCATTTTCCTCCTTGGTTTGCATGAATGGATGCAGCATTGCTACAGTCACACAATGCTCAGTCTTCCATTTCCAAACACATCTATGGAGTAGGTTCTAATTTTGTATTCCAGACCCCATAAGATGGATAGACAATACTGGAGGCAGAATTGACCTGCATCAGCCATGTGTGCTACATCAGGCTTATCCTTTCATGTATATAATGACTGTGGAGAGTTATAAGCATATTTATTCTTAAAACTGAATTAACAAGCCCTTTTTGATACAGTTCTTTCAGGTTTTCTAATATCAGAATAGTTACAAAGAAAAGGACTATTAAATTGATTAGGAAATGTAAAAGTAAATTTCTTCTCTGTGATCTTGTGTTCCCTTAAAAGAGGTAAACGTATGGACCAGCTGTTTTATTTCCAAGTATATACCTGGAAGAGATTAATGTAGCAGTCTTAGATACTTTCACACCAATGCTCATGCCATCATTATTTACCATAGCTGGAGTGTGAAAACAGCCCAAAAGTCTCTTGACAGACTCAAAGCTAAATGACAAGCAAATAGAGTATTTTGCTGCCTTTAAAAGAAATGAAATTCTGACTTGCGCTACAACATAGATGAAATGTTAAATGAAGTAAACCAGAGACAATAGGACAAAATTTATATGATTGTAAGATTCGTATTTCTGGCCGGCGCCGTGGCTCAATAGGCTAATCCTCTGCTTGCGGCGCCAGCACCGCGGGTTCTAGTCCCGGTCGGGGCGCCGGATTCTGTCCCAGTTGCTTCTCTTCCAGTCCAGCTCTCTGCTGTGGCCTGGGAGGGCAGTGGAGGATGGCCCAAGTGCTTGGGCCCTGCACCCGCTTGGGAGAACAGAAGAGCACCTGGCTCCTGGCTTTGGATCAGCGCGGTGCGCTGGCCACAGCGCACTGGCTGCAGCAGCCATTGGAGGGTGAACCAATGGTAAAGGAAGACCTTTCTTTCTGTCTCTCTCTCTCTGACTGTCTACTCTGCCTGTCAAAAAAAATTTCATATTTCTACTAATAATTATATGATTTGTAAGTTACCTAGAATAGGCAAGTTCTTAGAGACAAAAAATAGAATGGTGTTATAGTAGCTGTGGGTGGAGAATGGGAAGGTACCATCGAATAAGTTTCTGTTTGACATGTCAAAAAGGTCATGAAATGTACAGTGATGATGTTTGCACACCTTTTAAATGTACATAATGTTACTGAATAGTCTCCTTAACAATGGTTAGTATGGCATATTTGACATTATTTCTACAGTAAAAAATGAAGAAACACTTGCAAATCATCACTTTCTTGTAGCATGCTGCATTGATCATAGGACTGAAATTTCTTCCAGGTTGGAGGGAGCTTGCAAAGGTATTTTGAAAACAGCTCTGGATATGGATTAAGAAAATTTCCCTGAAATCTCAGCTTTGTCACTTACTAGTAATTCAAATTTTGGCAAATCAGTTCAAGTCTTTTGCACCTTAATATTTTCTAGTTATACTAACAAAATTGTTTTAATGTCTAGAATTAAAGTGCATATAAAATGCTTTATAAGCCCCCAAAAATATGTATGTGCACAGCAGCAATTTGTGTTATATATTCCTTTATGAAGCTTAGTAATAAAAATCTTATCAGTGAAATACATTTATTAATTCCTATTTAAATTCCCTAAAATATTGTTATGTGTATATAACTAATCCAAAGGTTTTGTTTGGTTGCTTTTTTTTTTTTTGTCTATTTAAAGTATGTGTCTACTGGTTTTTGTGTGTTTTTAAAAGATTTTTTATTTTTTATTTATTTGAAAGGCAAAGGCAGAGTTACATGGTGGGGGATGAGAGGCGGGGGAGACAGAGAGAGAGGTCTTCCATCCACTGGTTCACTCCCCAAATGGCCACAATGACCTGGGCTGAGCCAGTCCAAAGCCAGGAGGAAGGAATTTTATCTGGGTCTTCCATGTGAGTGCAGTGGCCCAAGAATTTGAACCATCTTCTACTGCTTTCCCAGGTGCATTAGCAGGGAGCTGGATCAGAAGTGGAACAGCCGGGACATGAACTGGCACTCATTTGGGATGCTGGCACTACAGGTGGCAGTTTAACTCTTATGCCACAATGCTGTCCCCTGAATCTACTGTTTTGCAATGAAAAATGAATGCTGAAAATCTGATGAAATCACGTTCCTATTTACCATTCCTGTAGTGGATGGGTCATTAGCTTATTTTAATATCTTTTTTTGTTTGTTTGTTTAGTCTTATAGTACATACTGTACTAAGAACAGATAACTCCATGGTCTTAAAAAGAAGGGACAACTATAAATAGTATTTTGTCTTGGGAAAAATAGTCTTCATTTGTGTTTAATTATAATTGTAATTAAACAATTACACTTGTAATTGTAAAAAGTGTTTATTTCATTACCTGTTCTCATCTTCCATACCAAACCATACAAACCACTAATTTGACAGGATGTTATATCAAATTGTACATTATTTTGTGGAGTTCTTCAGATACATAATTACAAAGAAAAATAAGTATTTAACCAATAAGATAATTTCCTTGCTGTTAACATCATAAAATAATACCAAAACTAATGTGGTTAAAACAAATGCCAACTAATTATTTTGTTTTCTTCCTTAGTGGGTATGTCTTTGACTATGATTACTACAGAGATGATTTCTACAATCGGTAGGTGATTTTCTTGTTGTGTTTCCCTCTTATTTAAATTATCTTTCAACTATTTTGTGCATTTCATTTCTGAGTATTCTTGATTGAGATATCCAAACTGATATTTTGCAGTTAAAAATAAAATACTGAGTCCTAATAAAATGTAAAAATAGATACATTTCCCCATTTTGATTATACTTGATGAAATATAATGGATAGTGACGTTTTAAAACTTTGGATAGATTTAAGCCTAAAATTAATATTCCTAATATTTAGAAAAAATATAAAGATTCTGCTAACTAATATTATACAGGTCTGTTGTTGACTTAAATTCTTCAAAAGCTAGCAGTTTGTAAACTCAGGAAATGACTAACTGAATCCCTGAAATATGAGGGCATACCAAAAAGTTAATGGAAAATGGAATTAAAACAGAGGTTTATTTAGGTGCAAAAAATGAAGTTCATATATAGTTTTTCAAAATTTCCATTTTCTTTTTTTTGCTTTTTAAAATATTTTATTTATTTATTTATTTACTTGAAAGCGTTAAAGACAGAGGGACAAAGATCTTCGATCTGCTGGTTCACTACTCAGATAGCTGCAAGGGACATCTCTGGGACAGTCTGAAGCCAGGAACCTGGAAATCCACCTGGATTTCCCACGTAGGTGGCAGGGGCCAAGCATTCAAGCCCTCTTGTACTTCTTTACCAGATGCATTAGCAGGGAGCAATGCATACTAAAGGAGAGCTCTCAAGGCAACAGATTTTATCATTGATGTTCTTCCAAATGGGTCTTCCAAATGACATGAACACTGGATTCGGCCCTCGGGGAGGCCCGTGCGTCTGGCCAGCTCTTCCCTGGTCGCCATGCCTGGGAAGCGATTCCGCTCGAAGGCCTGCAGGAGGATCTCGGCTGTGGCCCCGAGATGGGCGTGCGCTGGCGCCGGTCGCCCGGTCCCACCGGCTCTCCTGCCGCAAGGGGCCCAAGTCCAGCGGGTCTTGTGCGCGCCTTCGCTGCTTCCTCTTGTTTTGAAACCACACCTGCACCCGGCCCAGCTCTTCTCTGAGCCCGACGCCAGGATAAGGGTTGCCTTCAAAGGAAGCGCGCAGCAGGTCCCTCTGACCGTCGGTCAGCATGGTCCTGGGTCGTCGAGGTTCTCGGGAGGAGGATGCTTTGTCTATGCCATGCAGGCCATCCATGCTGGCAGGCACGCCGCCGGCTCTGGCTCCGGCCACCGCGGGCTGCTGAGTGCTCAAAATTTCCATTTTCAGTACATTTTTTGAGACTCTTCATATATCCCTTTTTATGATACACAAAAATTCTGTATAATTTAGATTTAATGATATTTACAGACTTTTCCTGTTTTGTACATTAGTACAGGGCCATAGAGTGGCCATGCAAACCCAAATCATACAAAATGTTGTCAATATTCAATGAGGAAAAAAAAGAGGATGGTAACCTGATTTTTAAATTTTTTTTGTCAAAACATTAAAAACTTTTACTGTCTTCTTTATGAATACATACAGAACTATAGTAAAGTTAATGATTATTTAGCACAACCATTGGTACAGTTTAGCACAACTTAAAATAATAAAAATAATGGAAATTAAGGTTTTTTATTTATTTGTAAAAAATACTTTCATAAATAGCTTGGACAATGTATGCCCTCTTCTCATCTTATGTCTTAGGATACGGAGCAACTATCTTTTTCTTCCTTGGTGAATTGTTATTTTCCTTGTCTAAGTCTGGATCAGCCTCAACTTTTAATCCATGTTGTGAACTATCTGTAAGAGCTCTTTCCATGTGTAATTCTTTTGTCTGTACCATTTCCTTGCCATATTTTCATCCCTTTTCAACATATCACATCCACTTTCCTCATTATGTCACTAACTGAAATTCATGTTGTAATTTAACTAAACATTGGTAACTAACACCAGAGTACATGCATATTACAGACTTGCAAAGACAGGACCTACTGTATATAGGAGGATAACTGGGGAAAAATAGGTAAATATCTCTTAACCCTTTAATCATTTGAAGTAATAGTCAAATAAAAAACCCTCAAAGAATAAAAATGCAAATTTGGAAAAACGTTCTCGGTAGACACTTGATGGAGGGAGGAAACTCTGATCCTTTGAAACGGTCTTGCTCTGTCTGCTCCAGCAGCACAGGTCCTTTACAATTCCAGAAAGACACCGTGTTTTTCCTGTGTTCGGTCCTTTCTTAGTGTTGCTCCATTCCCTCTCTCCTCCCTCCACCACTTAATACATTTGACTTCATCTATCAGATTTCAGCACCATCACTACTCCCATACTAAATTAGGTTCACCTGTTCCACTTTCTTGGCACCCAGCACTGTTCCTTCACCACACTTCTCCTAAGTTGTATTGCTGTATTTCTTTATGTTATGGTAGCATTTGATATATGTCTAACTTCCTTCCTCCATGAGGGCAAAACTGTGTTCAGTTTAGTTTATGTTTACATCCTCAGGGACCAACAGTATACCTCCCACATAGTGTAGAATCAGTTTGTGTTAATTCATCTCCTTAGAGTTAGAGATGTAGTCATTGTTGCAAGGTCATATGGTTAATTAGTGTCAGAACTACAATCATAACTTGGGCAATCATTTTGATTACATAATCATCTGTGTGAATATGTAACACAGAGGGAGTAATATCAGTTGAAGACATAGAAAGGACACACCCTTGCCTGTATGGGACTCACAACCATGCTTCCATAAATCCTATGTTCAACATACTGCATTCAGCATCTTATCTCACAAGTTACCCTTTTACAACGAAAATCAATTTTAAGAATGCTTTTCTCACATCATTCTATAATTTCTATAAAACACAATAGTTTAAACATCAAATACCTTGTGATAATTTTTTCTTTATTTACTTGAGAAGTAGAGTTACAGAGAGGGAGAGGCAGAGAGAAAGGTCTTCCATCCACTGGGTCTCTCCCCAAATGGCCACAAAGGCTGGAGCTGGGCCAACTGAAGCCATGAGCCAAAAGCTTCTTCTGGGTCTCCCACATGGGTGAAGGGGCCAAAGCACCTGGGCCTTCTACTGCTTTCCCAGGCCATAGGATCGGAAAACAGCCAGCACAGGAACCTGCGTCCATATGGGATGCCAGTGCTGCAGGCGGAGGCTTAGCCCACTATGTCACAGTGCCAGCCCCTGTGATAACTTTTTCTAAAACTGATGTGAATATTTGGCAGCATTAAAATCATCTAAATCTCTATTAAGAACAGATATTAATTAATATGCATTATCTTATAAAATATGAAACTGTTTTAGCATCTTTTCTTAACTGCTTAATATCACGTGGCTTCCTTACACATGTAAACAGTTTCTATCTAAAATGGAATCATCAGGGCTGGTGTTTTGGCATAGTAAGTAAAGTCACCACCTGCAGTGCTGACAACCTATATGGGCACCTGTTCCCATTCCTGCTATTCCACTTCCAATCCAGCTCCATGCTAATGGCCTGAGAAAAACAGCAGAAGATGGCCCAAGTGCTTGGGCCACTGCCAACCACGTGGGAGATCCAGAGGAAGCTCTTGGCTCCTGTCTTTGGCCTGGCTCTGTTCTGGCTGTTGTAGCTACTTGGGAGTGAACCAGTGGATGGAAATTCTCTCTTTCTCTCTCTCTGAAACTCTGCCTTTCAAATAAATAAATAAATAAATCTTTAAAAATATGTAGTAGAATTATTTACTAGAAATTAGTAGACCCAAGTTTAGGTAATTTTTTTACATTCTCATCTTGAGAAGGAAATCAAGACCTGTATTTTACTGTCTTTAAAAGCTAGCTCATGTGGCTAGTGCTGTGGCATAGTAGGTTGAGCCTCCGTCTGCAGTGCCAGCATCTCATATGGGTGCTGGTTCATGTCCCCATTGCTCCATTTTCGATCCAGCTCCCTGCTACTGGCCTGGGAAAGCAGTGGAAAATGGCCCAAGTGCTTGGACCCCTGCACCCATATGGGAGACCTGGAAGAAGCTCCTGGCTCCTGGTTTACCATTGGCCCAGCTCTAGCCATTGTGGCCACTTGGGGAGTGAACCAGCAGACCTCTTTCTATGTCTCACACTCTTTCTGACTGTAACTCTGCCCCTCAAATAAAAAAAAAATAAATCTTAAAAAATCAGCTTGTTAAAATCATCAGAAAGATAGATGATAGCTAGTTAGCCAGAGATCAATAGAAGATAGTTTGATGGACAGACAGACAGACTTTATCTGACAAGGGGTTAAGTCCTAAACCTTTTACCAAGGGTCAAGTAATTATAGAGTCTGAAGCTTGCAGATGATGCTCCACTGTATAAGACAGCTAACTGAACAATTTTTAAAACCATTTATTTGTTTTACATACAATCTGCTTGACTTCTAAATGTGCAACAGATTATTATGGTTGTATTGCTAACAGAATGTCTCAGCAGTCTGTGTTCTCATTAGTTCATTTTCCATTTTTTTGCACTTGGCTAAGAAAGGCTTAAGCATCTGCCACTAGTGGATATAGTCAAGAATTCCCTGTAAACAGAAGATTCCTTGAAGGAAAACAGAGTGGAGAGTCTGGATAAGATAAACAGCTTAGAGACATTGCCATCAGTCTTATCTATAGTAATTCCTTCTAAGTTACACTTTGCTTATATTTATGGCTGTTTTTCTTTCTCTTCTTATTGGCAGTACCATCCTAAGTTATTTAAAATTACATAACCTGTTATCTCATTTGTTAAGTGAGCATGGAGTTAATTCCTAACTCATAAAGTTGTTCTGAGAATTAAACGAGGTATCAAAAGGTATAGGCCGGCGCCGTGGCTCAATAGGCTAATCCTCCACCTTGCGGCGCTGGCACACCCGGTTCTAGTACCGTTCGGGGCACCGGATTCTTTCCCGGTTGCCCCTCCTCCAGTCCAGCTCTCTGCTGTGGCCAGGGAGTGCAGTGGAGGATGGCCCAAGTGCTTGGGCCCTGCACCCACATGGGAGACCAAGAGAAGCACCTGGCTCCTGGCTTCGGATCAACGGGAT